TGTAATGCTTTCGGGGCTTGGTTTGCTTCTGAACACAACCTTAGAACGCAATATCTCAAACCCTTGAAACACAGAGGATTTACCATTGGCTCTTTTTGGTCTAGCATATGCTGGAAATGCTATGAAAAATGGAAGATAAAATTCAGTTATAACATGCACCTGAACCTATGCTACAGCATGGCCTGCTTACAAAGTGGAGAAATCCTGCACTCTTTGGAGCCGATTTCACATGATGTAAGGAGGCTTTAAATTCACAGAGAATCAGGATTGTTGCAGCCTTTCAATAAAGCCTGAATTAACCAAGATACTGAGCGCCCAGATACACTGATTTGCTGGACAGACCTCAGATGAATAAAGCAGATCTGAATCATAGAATCATAGAATGGCCTGGGTTGAAAAGGATCACAATGCTCACCCAGTTTCAACCCCCTGCTATGTCACCAGTCACCAGACCAGGCTGCCCAGAGCCACATCCAGCCTGGCCCTGAATGCCTCCAGGGATGGAGCATCCACAACCTAAGTCTGAAATGACTTAAGTCATGCCTCATTGGCTTCCTTTTGGATGAAGTTAAATGAGAAGGTGCTGTTCAATCAATAATTGACACCCACACTGGTTTAGAACTGGCTGGAAGTAACTCCCTCTTGAAGATTCGTATAATACGAGCTTTTGGACCTCAGTAGTACTTCTCTCACCCTCAGCATTCTGCACAACTTCCTAATGTAAGCACAAACATATCTTTGAGTTTAATCTATTCTGGGAATGAAATGGCAGCACAGGACTTAGATCCCAATGGTTGGAGCTATTTATGACCTTGAAGGAAGACAACGGCACACATAGGGATGGACTCCCTTTGCTACCACAATTCCAGAATGACCTAAATTATAGGAATTATATCTATCTATGGAAAAAGGCTGCACAGTGTACATTTCTTGTCCTATTTGGACAGGTTTTAGCATACTATATTGGATACTCCAACTGTACTCACTTTGCAACGTACTACAGCCTATTTCTGTGAAGTACAGAGTGGCAGGAGAACATTAGGAGCATGAAATATTCATCTCTCCATCCTCTTATCCCTGAGCCTGGCCTAGGTTTTCCAAGGCAAATATGTTCTCTCTCCATTTGAAAACACCTATCATTTGGATTTTCATCTGTTCTGTAACATTCAAAATTGATTATCTTAATGACAGTTAATAGCCAGAACCGTTCGATTGATCTGACGCTTCTCCTCCACAGAGCCCACTTCAATAACGGGCAGTCATTGAGCTATTTTGTCTCCTTACTTAATATTTGGCCTTGTTGTGTGCAAACAACCATCAACAACGTTGTCTGGGACATGAGCACATTCCGGAGCAGGATATTGATCCTTCCAAGTTTATGACAGTTCTATGTAGGAAAAGAAATGGGAACAGTCATTTATTCCGAGTGTTATTAACCAATCATCCCTTGAATACGTTTTATAAAAGGTGAATACACCATTGAAGGAAGGCCAGCTAACAGTTCCCAAGGCTGAGACCAAGATTCATTAGTCTTCTCCAACATGATCCTAAGACTCTTAGTGCCTGCAGAGTTTTTTAGGGACTTCTGAGCATTTGGTAGAGCAGAAAGCCAAATGTAATCCCTGCACAATGCACTGCATCCATCTCCAACCATTTGAACAAGAAAACCTCAGCTGTAGCAAAAACATCAAAGCATACAGAGGTGGCTGCATCCAACTTACATCTTGAGCAAACAATCCCAGTATGACTGCAGGAGACCCGATTACACATCTTGCAGGATGTTTTCTGCTCGTGATGCCCAAAAGACTTAAAGTTCAGCACCATGAAATTGAGCAGTATGGAGATAAATGATTAAAATGCCAAATAGTTTAACTGGTTTGCAGGCAGGCAGTGTTGCTTATCAGGAGGAAACTACAGAAATGCTTTCAACTAACAAAGGGAAGAAAAGGACACTTATTCCCTGCCTTCAAGCAAGTTAGACAGTGCATTGCTTACCTCCATATCCTACTAATCTTTTAACTATCACTATATTTGCAAATCTCAGGGCAGAGCCTTCATTTCTGCACGAATGCATGGCTCCAAATTAAATTTTTAACTTATGCCCACAGCCCTTCTGCAGATGTTCTTTAAACTTTCCCCACCCTGTTCCTACAGTATCTTTTTGCACCCAGTTTCTGCTTGGGTTAACATGGTAGGACACAACCAATGTGTCACTTGCCTACCTCTGTATCCCAAGGATGTCACAGAGAGGGATACTGAAAAGGGATGGTCACAATCCCTCTATGACAGCAGCAGCTGCTTCTGAAGCCTCAGTCCTCTACAGACCAGCACTTTGTGTTCAGTTTTCTCCTAGCAACATTTTTCAATTTCTTGACCATTTTTATGCAAGAAAAGAACCTTGGCAATCCTTGAAACACAGAAGCTAATTTTCAGCTGGAAATAGAATTTGGATAGAGCCTTTTTTCAGTTATGAACTATTTCAAATAGAATAAAGGCTTAGATCTGCGCTTGGTGTTAGAAGATAAAAGTGCACAGAAATCAATGGACACAGATTAGATTCAACATCCCACTGCAAAGCCCATTTTACTAATAACATACTTTGAAAAGGAAGAAAAAAATATAGGAGCGAGCAAAGTTGCTTATAGACCCAAACATTAATATTCATCATTGATTTCATTGATATTTATATATGCCTGATAGTTCTATTTCATGCTCATGCTGGGGCAGAGCTGAGAGAGTATGTACTTTCAGACTATTTAAGAATACCATATGGATATAATTGCAGCTCAATCACGTACAGAATACATTCAGTCAGCATTCTGCATAATACCAGAGACCCATTCTGGGCATTTTGTACTTCACAGAGGAAGAGTGAAGCAGCAAAGCAGTGGGAAGTCAGTAGTAAGATGGTATTTGGCAGCTAACACCACTTGCAATAAAAGCTGTGCTCCTTTATAAAGGGCAACCAACCCGTGCTCCTTGAGTTACCAAACTTGCCACTTCTACACGGTTTACAGAAGCCTTCTTTGTTCAGCAAAGGCTGCCGTGCACCCCTTTACTCCCAGAAACACAGCCAGAGGAGCAAGGAGCAGCACACAGAGACACAGATCAGTATTCCAGTAGCAGTGGAGCACGGCAGAGGTGAGATCAGTTCGAGCCATTGTTTCTTCACCCTCCGTACCAAAGTTGTTTTCCTCTTGTTTCAACAGAATCTATAAGTCTGCCTTGTCCATTAGTGAAATGTCACCACGCCAATGGAAAATTTATGATGCTGCTTGTGGTGTGAGGGTGCCCTAGGAATTCCCACGCTTTTCCTTTTGTTATTTCCCTAAAAAGATCAAGTCCAAAAACCACATACATACATAATGTGCGAGGCTCGCAGCCCACGAAGTCAGGAGGAACTATTTTAAGAATTAATTTGTGCCCTGAGAGATCTGTTTAAATTATCCTCCTGTGCTGTCCTAACCAAAGACGAGAGCAGAGAACTTCCAATGTTTGGGGAAGGACGAAGAGGAGACGTGGATGCTCTGTGCACCCACAGGCAGTGGGAGGACACTGGGATTCCAGTGCAGCTTTGCTGTCCCTTGTGTCACCACCTCTAACCATATCTGCCATTTACAGCTGAGGATGTGTCACTTTTTTTTTTTTTCCTGCTGTTTCCTTTTTTTTTTTTTTTTTTTGACAGGGAAAGTTTAGACTTCATCCTGCTTGGGTTAAGTGCTGTTAAATAGGAATGCTCTCAAAAAAACCCAGCCCCAAACAAACAGGCATGGCAGTGGAAATTAAGACTAACTTTGCTACCCCTATAGAAAAACAAAGGGTACTGAATATAAGCTAGAAAAAGGACTAAAAGACTTCAATTCAAATAGGGTGTCAGCACTGCAGTTTCCATCAGTCCCTGGGAGCTATACCTCCTTGTGGAGGTATATACCCTACATGTACCTACAACACTGACTGCACATGCTGTACCCTGGGGCATCCCTCCAAGAAAACATCACCCCCCAAAAATCTCTGAAAGTGCTGCACAAAGTCAAGAGCCAAAACCCCACTTTTGCATTGTTCCATCCACCTGCAGAGTGACCATAACCCTCCTGCAACAAGAAGGGGCCTCTGTCCCAGCACTCTGCCCCACACATGCACACAGTAACCCTCCTGCAACAAGAAGGGGCCTCTGTCCCAGCACTCTGCCCCACACATGCACACAGGGACCGAGGAAGCCCAAAGGAAGAGGTGCAGTCAGATAAAAATAGCACAATTCACCCCCCCCCCCCCCAACCCTCCAAGCCTCCACGCACACCGACAGCAGACCTTGAGCTCAGATGCACAGCACTTTCCTCCTGCCACTGACTGGTGACTCAGTTGACAATTTCAGGAACGTGCACCAAAATAAAATAAAATTCAAAAATCACACAAGAAACACAGAGCTACACAACGCAAATCTCTATTTGTTTGAAATCGAGGAAAAGAAGTATTACCTGATCCTGCTGCTGGGCTTGTTTCCCTGATGCATTTTGCTCCTTGGCTGTAGTCATGCTCACCTATTTGTGCCCACCGCAGTGGCAAACAGGATTGGAACGTATGTATGCGTGTGTGTGTGTGTGAGTGAGTGTGAGCAGGTCTGCGTGTGCTCAGACATACACACACACATACACACACACACACAGACTGGAGGGATGAGTAACTAGTCCATCACTTAAACCACCAGCTGAGAAATTTCCCACCCCCGCAAAATCAAAAAAATAAAAAAAAATAAAAAAAAAATAAAAAAAAGAAGCAAAAAATAGAAAATAAATAAAAATAGAATTTTTTTCTTTTTAAAAAAAACAACCCTCTAGTCTAGCTGGCTTCCCCCTTGAGCGTCTAAAAATCAAAAGCAGGAGCAGAGAGAGAAAGAGAGAGAGGGAGAGAGAGAGAGAGAAGGATGCTGTGGGGGGCTCCTTCAATTAGCAACAGCCTCTGCAATCGTCACAGAAACAATGATAACTGCTTGGCAACCGGAGACGGGCAGCCGGGAGGCAGAGCCGCGCTCCGCGCTCCGCACCTCCCCGCCGGCAGCCCCCGCGCTGCGCATGCCCTGCCGCCCCGCCGCCTCCGCGTCGTCCTGCGCGGAGAGCGGCGCTGCGGGAATCCGATGGGATGCTGAGAGCGGAGGTGCTCCCAGCCCCCACTCTGTGCGTCCCTAATGGGATGGGGTCACTTTGCATGTCTCTTATCGCCGCTGTCGCTCACGGAGTGCGTTCTGTTCTGCGCTGTTCGAGTTCTCTCCTCAGCTCAGCAGAGCTCTTCTCACAAATCGAGCTTCCCAACCCTCCCGCCTGGCTGTCATACTCAAGGTATGCTTAGGTATTGCCTCTGCCCATGCAAAAACTTGGAGCGATGTGAAGGATGCTGTAAATGGGACAGGGACTAATGCGGTCCCACGCCTCACCTCAACGCCGGGCGCTCTGATGCTGCCGCGGTGCTGCTTTCCATCCCCACACCCCCTGCATCCGGCCCACAGCCCTGCTCTGTGCTGCAGGACAAAGCTCAGTGTCCTCTCAGGAGTGATACTGGGATCCGTGCTGAGTCTGCAAATCACCAGCTAAGGAATATCAGGGTATTTATCCAGCAAGTGATTACGCCTCATTTGACCCCTAATGTTATATTGCTGGTAATGCTACTAGGTTGCATTAACCATGAACTCCACTGGATGCAATCCATGGCTCTGCTGGATGCCATCACTCCTTACACTCGGGGTGAATTTGATGCTCAGCTGAGCTTTGCTAGAGCTCAGCTTCCAGCCACCACTAAGTATTCCTGTGTTTCCACCATCATATAGTATACCAGTTCATGGAAACCACGACACAAAAAGTCTCCAACGTGTAATTGTGCTGGTAGGAAACTGGACAACCTCACCTGGTTCCAGCTGCCAGCATCCAGGAACAGCTCATTAGAGGAGTGAATAGCACCTCTCGAGCAAGAAGCAGTAATTTACACTTAAATCTAACAGCTTGTGTCAACCTCTTGCTGGGCTGTACCATGACACAGTCCCAGCTTACACTGCAATTTCATCTCTTTAGTCCCAGTATTAGTCACAATGATGTTTTTAGTGAGGTTATCTCCACTCGGGTATTTTTCCCCAATTGTATGAACAGAATTGCTTTCAAGGGCTGTACAGGTAGATTGGTTTGAGTTATTCAGTTGCCTTGGTCTGTTTTCCCACCTGTTGTGGGCAGTAATGGAGTCTCGCTTTACTCCACACTTTTGCTGTCTTTCTTCCCAAGAGGAATTCAAACAAAACAAAACTGTTTTGCACTTCCTCACTCTATGTCCTGGATATCTCTGCAGAATGGATCTTCTCACTGCATGAATCATTCTCTGTGTCCCTGACCCTCACTTAAACTACACTTTTACTGAAAAGAAGTCTAAGTCTTTGTGTCTGTTAGCCACTGTTAACCCTTGCACACCCTCTCCATGCACATTCAATTCTTTTGCAGCCAGCAATATAAGACATGGTTTTCACCAGCTCTGCAAATGGCCAGACCTACATTTTAAGGTGTTTTTTTTTTTTTTTTTTCCCCTTGTTGTTGGGCGCATAGGAAGTTAATTGTGCTAATTAGTCCAGCAGTTAGCTTATACAAACGCATATGGCTTAACCTCATTACATAGGTGCATTACAACTGAGTGTTCATACTGCACATCCGAGTGTTTTGGCACAGTTATTCCAGTGTTACTGAAGCTCACTGGTCTCTCTGCATGGTGGTACCTCTCTGCCTTCCCTGCCTATACAGGGGGTCTCATCCCTTCAGATGGCCACGAGTCATCTGCTGGGGTTGGCAGATCCTGATTCTCATCCTGAAATAGGGGAAGATTAATCTTTCATAAGATAGGCCAAACAGTAAAGTTGGTACCCTACCCAAGTGTGGAGGTCACACTGCATGGCCTCACCCTGCTGATGTGTGAGCAGATTACTCCATGCCTGTTAATGAAGGCTGGATATTAGGAAAAAATTCTTGTCAGAAAGATTGATAATGCAGTGGCACAAGCTGCCCAGGGAGGTGGTGGAGTCATCCTCTCTAGAGGTGTTCAAGAACTATAGAGATGTGGCACTGAGGGACGTGGTCAGTGGGCACGGTAGGGATGGGCTGATGGTTGGACTAGATGATCTTAGTGGTGTTTTCCAGCCTTAATGAGTCTATGGTTCTATGTTCCAAATGCCAGCTACAGCCACCCAAACAGCATCCCCATTGAACATCAGTCAGCTGCTCCAGCACTGTGAAAGGACAAACATTTCCCTCCCACCAGAAGAGGAACCTTTGACAGGTGGAAGGACCTGTTCTCATTCTCCTGAGACCAGCAGGAACAGAACTGTGCTATGGGAGCATTCTCAGAACACTCCCAGGAATTCTTAGAGACCATCTTCATCACCCTCACCATCACTACCACAACCATTATGCCCTCTCATGCTCCAAGACTGTTGTGAGCCTTGTACGTTGCAAATGGAACATAATGCTGCAGTGGTTCTTAAAGCCAAACCAAACAAAAACTTTTAAAGTCATTGCTATGAGCACCCATGCACTCTTGGTAGCTAAAACACAATAAGGATTGTGTCTGACCACCCATTACAGCAAAGTATGCTAGGGAAAGCAGCAGTTTGTTATTTTCACCCCCAAATGGTGCACATCAATTTACTTAGGACATGTTTGATCCACGGTGGATGTTTCTGCTAACTGTGAATGCAGAGCAGCCCCTTTGCAGAAGCATTGATGGGAGTTGGTGCAGAGCATTCCCATCTCCTTTGTGTTACAGAGGACAGATCCAAGAGCAGCCTGTGCTCGCAGGGAGTCCACCAGCTGCACACATCTGTTGGAGGGAATAGAGACTGAGCAAGGACATTAATAAGCCTGCTGCAGCAGCAGGTAGAGTTATTGGATGCAGAGCCTTTCTGCTCCTTTGAAACCTAGGGTTCTGGCTATATCACTCCAGGTTATTAATTCCCCCCTCATTACCACATCAAGGAAGTCAAAGCCAGTGGGTAGAATGGGTAGAAATGAATCCTGCTTGATTAACTACACCTTCCTACAGCCTGCTAATGTTCTCCCCTCTTCAGATGAGGACCAGGTCCCAGATGAAGAGCTACATATCTGAACTTCTTAGTGGAGCTAACCCATTGGTACCTGCAGTGCTGTAATGTGCTGCCTCCAGCAGAACACACCACATGATCTGCCTTTGTACATTCAGTCCCTCTGAGCTCCACACTCAGCACAGACCACTTCCCATTGGTTTGGCTTCAGCTCAGGGAGGACACACAGCCCAGGAAAGCACTCTAGCAATCTGTGGCAATGTAAAAACATACTCCTGGGTAGGTTACATAGGAAAAGTCCTAAAAGCTATAGTTTTCAGTTACAGTGTTTTGGAGGTAGCAGATGTTAGTGAGACAACTCAGAAAGAGAGACAGACTGCCAGCACAGACACCCACAGGGAGAAGGTGAGAGGAGCATGTAGAAATGTTGTAGGCATGGATTTTAACATTCAGACATTTGAAAGGTGATTGATGTAGCTTGGATCAACACAAATCCGCAGACTACAAGGTGAGCTGAGCTCAGTAGAAAGTAGTGCTGCTTTCCAGTAGGGAGACCGAAGGATGGGGACATGAGCTCTCAGCAGTTCCTGCAGTAACTGTCTGGAAAAAAGGTCCATGTCATTCATGAAAGCCAACTGTATCTTGAGCTGCATCAAAAGACACGTGGTCAGCTGGTTGAGGGAGGTGACCCTCTCCTTTCTTCTGCACTGTGAGACCTCACCTGGAGTACTGCGTCCAGATGAGGAGTCCTCAGCACAGGAGAGACATGGACCTGTTGGAGTGTATCCAGAGGTCATAGAAATGATCCAAGGGATGGAACAACTCCCCAGTGAGGACAGGCTGAGGGAGCTGGGGCTGTGCAGCCTGGAGAGGAGAGGGCTCTGGGGAGACCTGAGAGTGGCCTTTCTGTATTTAAAGGGGGCTGTAGGAAAGAAGGGGACAGACTCTTTAGCAGGGTTTGTTGTGATAGGACAAGGGGAAATGGTTTCAGACTCGAGGGGAGATTTAGACTGGATGAAAGGAAAAAGTTTTTTATGATAAGGACAGTGGAACACAGGCACAGGCTGCCAGAGAAGTGGTGGATGCCACATCCACTCAAGATCAGGCTGGACGGGGCCCTGAGCACCTGATGGAGCTGAAGGTGTCCCTGTTCACTGCAGTGGAGTTGGACTTGATAAACTCTAAAGATCCGTTTCAAATTAAATGATTCTATGATTTTATGCTCTTCTTAAAGAGCATGGCCAGAGAAATCCAACTAATCTCCAAGTCTGAGTTTATAAATTTGCAGCTTCCTTATTATCCCACGGCTCCAACTTTTCTAGAGGATGTCAAAGGGTGGGGAATGAGAAGGATCTGTGCAATGCAGGCTGTCCATAGCATTATTATGGTTCTGCAGATGTGCCAAGCCATGGTGGGGACCAACTACTTGCAGTCCCAGTGACAAAATATCACCAGTCAAAAAAGCAATGGCATATCCCCTATAGATCCTACCGGAGATCATGGTAAAACCAGGAGGGTTGCATGGTTAAAAAAAACCTCTCTGTATAGGATTTTATGCTTTTAGAGGCAATCTCAGAATCGTTAAGATTGGAAAAGACCTCTAAGATCATCTAGTCCAACCATTAGTCCATTGCCCACGTCCCTCAGTGCCACATCTCCACCATTTTGGAACATCCCCAGGGATGGTGACTCCACCACCTCCCTGGGCAGCCTGTGCCACTGCATCACCACTCCTTCTGAGAAGAAATGTTTCCTAATATCCAACCTGAACCTCCCCTGCCGCAACTTAAAGCCATTAACTCTCATCCTATCAGAAAAGCAGCAAGATATACTGACTGTTCATTCTGGAAGTCTCTGCTCTGTGTTTGTCTGAATAAGCTTTGGAGGGGGATAATTTAATTTTGTTTTGTAAGCACAGCTTGTTGATGAGGATATGCATTAATTTATCTTGCACCAGCCTTGCTCTGCCACCCCTCTCCTGTTGTCTCCAACATATTTGCTCTACCAAGAGAGAGCAACAAGTGAGTCTTTATGTCCAGATGAATCTTTAGAGGCTCCACTGAGTGGCTTAGGGACCCATTCAAATGAGTTCCAAGATTTCAAAGGTTTTCTGAGTGTGCTAGAGGCAATTACAGACTATGAACATAGTTACAGACAAAAATACATCGCATTTCCCTTACCCATGACTAAGATCATTAAGAAAGCAATTTGATGTGGTATTTTCCCTTAACAGATCAAAAACAGTTTATCTAGTCAATGCCATCAATTAGGCACATCAATGAATATCTGTTCCTAAAAGGAGAGCACTTAAAAATGTTTCTACAAGCTTGAAAACTAGTTATCTGAGACAGCCTTCCTCTATTTGCAGCAGAGGACACAGAGACAAGGGGCATGGCAAGAATAACTCATGGGTCTATGAACAGTCCCATGGTGTTGCCTCTATTTGTGCATTATAGGAGCTTCTCTCAGATGCATTTATTTTTTAATTTTAACATGGAAGTGTGGTTTAAATTGATGGTAACAGGTTTATCTGCCGCTCAGTATTCTGCTGTTTTCTGTTTCTAGCTGCTGCAGCAAGTTCCAGGATCTCTCAGTTCATGGTAAACAAATGAGACAGTGCTAGGAGGCAAGCTGTGAAGAAGTCTGCTCACTTGTGTGCAGCTTAGAGCTATTTTGCATGGCACTTCCCTGCCTAAATTGGAGCATATCTCTGGGGTGCACAACACTGCCCTACTCACTTCTGCATTACGTCTCTGCTTATCCCAAAGATCAAGCAGCTGTACCTAGTGTCAGACTTCCCTACTTCAGTTTTTCAACAACATTATTTCTGACCATACGTGGAGTTCTTTTTGAGCCAGCACATATATTTTAATACACCATTACAACTCCAAAGGCACATCTTTAGCAGTGCCATATTGGTTTGGCACTGTGTTACTGCTGCAAGGAATATGGACAGTATTGCTGGTTTTTCCCTTCCCCTCTCTCTGGTCCTGCTGGTGTGACCTTGGCAGCTGTAATGAACAGATGCCTCTTCCTTGCTTGTTTATCTGTGCAAGAGACTTCTGAGGGCCCAGCTTCTGTGCCAGCTGTGAATCGTCTCCAAATTGTTTTTTCAGACTTTTCCTCCTCACAGTCTGGCTTAATATGTTTGTTCCCCATGATCACAGGGATTGATTTTCCATTTCCCCCCTCCTGTTATTTTTTGGGTGCAGCGGAGTCCTTTCCTCATTGCTTCCACATAGCTGCTTTCTGGCTGTTGTTTTGGAAGGGAGTGGAAGGATTTGTTTCTTTGCTCCCCATTAATACATATATATATATATAAAGAACTTAATTTTGTCAAATAGCCACAATCTGCATTTCATAACTAAAATATTCATTCAGCAAAACAGTAGATGTGGCATTGAGGAACATCATCAGTGGGCATGGTGATGATGGGTTAATGATTGAACTAGATGATCTCAGCGGTCTTTTCCAACCTCAGTGATACTATGAAATGAAAAAGAGACCACTAGAGAAGAAAAAAGAGAGAAGACAAAAAAATCTCCCCCAAGTTACCCACAAATAGACAATCCACAAACAGCTAAAAAAATATTATTCTATTTAGTAGCCTACAGCTTGGAAAAGAGAGAGTCTTGTGTTCATTTTTAGCTACAACAATGACTTATAGGGTGTATAAATGATCTGCATATACAATGATGACTGGTTTAAATGTAAATGTTGTGAAAGACATCTTATGTAAGCACATACAATTGCCTGAGAGATCCTTGTACATAAAAGCCACAGCTGGAGCAAGTGGCTTTTTAAACATTTGCTTTATGAAGCACAATTTTCTTTGCAATGGTTGTTATTTTTCATTTACTTTTCCATCAGCTTTAAACAAAAAGAAAAGGAAGAAAAAAAATACTTGAACTTACAACATGATCTGTATACTTTCAGTAATGGAATTCTGCAAACCATTGATGCTGTTAAGGAGATGGATGCATATAACATACGTTCATTTTAAAAGTATTGTATTTCACAGCTTCATAGAACAGTTTAAGTTGTAAGGGACCTTAAAGATCACTGAGCTCCATTCCCATGCTGCAGGCTGGTTGCCACCCACCAGATCAGAGCCCAAGGCCCCATCCAACCTGGCACTGATCATCTCCAGGGATGGGGCATCCACAGCTTCTCTGGGCAGCAGTGCCAGGGCCTCATTGTTCCTTCAGTAAAGACTTTTTTCCAAACATCTAACCTAAATAACCCCTCCTTTAGTTTGAAACCATTCCCCCCTCGTCTTATCACTATCAAGACTGTGTAAAAAGTCAGTCCTCCTCCTGCTTACAAGCTCCCTTCAAATACTGGGAGGCCACAATGAGGACTCCTGAGAACCTTCTCCAAGCTAAACAAGCCCAGCTCCCAGCCTATCCCCATAGGAGAGGTGCTCCAGCTGTCTGAGCATCTCTGTGGCCCTCCTCTGGACCTGCTCCAACAGCTCATGGTAGCTTCTCACAAATGTTCCTGAACAGCACCAAGAGGGTCAAAGACATGAGGTGTGGCACTCACAGCAGTATTTTCACTTGGGTGTGTATTTGCTGCCTCTCTGAAATGCTCACTGTAGCTGGATGGCTTCCAGCACCCTCATTTGCTGGTGAGAACTGTGATGGCTACAAGCATTTATACATTGCCTTGATTGTATTTCAAGTGTTTATAGATTTATTGGGATGAAACTTGTTCTGGTAAACACAGCAGCCTGTGCTCACCCTTTGGAACTGAATGTCTCGCACAGTGCACATGCCAAAGCAGAGGATGGATAAAACTTGTTGCCAGTATTCTGAAAGCCAATAGAAAGCAGGCCACCTGGAAATGCCTACTCAGAATCCTGAATGCAGAGGTAAGTTATGTCTTTATTACAAGGCTGAGGAAAAAAAGAGGACATGTGAAGTTGACATTGCTGGTACAGCCTCATAGTCCAATTGTTTTGAGGCAAACAGAAACCAGAGTAGTCCCTGCTCTGCTTTTTAGAAATTGACCAGCAGTTTCGATGTGCCACTTGGAACATCTTTGAGAAGTTTCATTTTCAGTGGATGAGAGCTGCTTTGTGTGAACAGCATTGTGCCCCTGCTTTAACTGCCTCAGTGGGCTGCTCTTCAGTTCTGAGAATGCTCCATGAAATCAGGCTCCCATCTCACCTGAAGCCAGATGACACAAAAAGAAAGTGGAAAACTTTCCACACCACGTGCAGTGTACAATGTACAACACAGCTGCCTGAATACAGCCTTATGTAGCATAAGTAAGCCAAGTAAAGTAGCAGCAATGTCCTGCTCCCGACCATTTATTTGATTTGCAAGTAACACAAGAAAATATATGCACGAGGGATGCACAGATCTATATATAATTTTCATTTTACTGAGACCTTGAGAACAGTTGAGCTCTGAGCACAGGATAAGACCACTAAAAGGGCGTAAGGCATACTTTAATCATCATTGATAATATTCATTAATTCGCGGAGACAGAGCAGGTATTCAGCAATGGCCCTTCAGGCACTCATGCACTGCAAAATCTAGGAGCTAGAAAAAAGTGATGCAAGAATGCACGTTTTAACCCTGAAGATATATATTTCTCCATGCAAGTATGAAATCTGAGCCTGACAGTGAGCTTCACAGCCAAGACCATACACCTGTCACAAATAATTAATGCACATCTCCTTCACACACCTCACAGATCTCTGTGATTACACATATATGATATGCCCACCATATTTATTTAAATACAAATCAGATGCATCACCTTTGCAAGTAGCACAAGCAATTGCCTAAATATGGTGCAGTACAATAACAATGCCAAACAAAGATACAAAAGCTGAGTTCACCCTAGCTTTCAGGCATCAGCAGAGTCTTCTATTAACCCAACCTATGGTCTGGTTGCAAGAGATGCAAAAGGAATTAAAAATCTGTTGCCTAAATGTCAGCAGTAGTAAGCAACAGCAAATCATAGAATCATTAAGGTTGGAAAAGACCACTAAGATCATCAAGTCCAACCACTGACCCATCATCACATCACGTGCTTGGTTGTGTACAAGCTTTGCTATCATCAATATCTTCTGGAAAGCTCTGGGTCTGCATTTAGCTCAACCTGCAAAACATTTACAACTGTGACTGCATGAGGAGAGCTTATGAAATCTCACCTCCATACAGGAACTCATATTGCAAAAGAGAAGATGCAACACCCATCACTGCACGCTCTGTAGAGCAGACCAGACTTTTTAAATAAGATGAGGACATACCTGAGAACACTATTAGCACCTTATTGCAAATATTACCCAAAGACAGTCTTTTGGACACATTTTCTAGGGATAATAAGGCAGCCTAAGGCCTATATTTATTCACTGAATCAGCAGTCTTTTCATTTCTCTTGTTCTCCTCCACAGATCAAGACTTCTGTCACTGTAGGAAGTGGCTGCTGAAGAGGACATTTAGAGGCTAAGCTTAAAGAGCCCAGAATAGTAGAAATAGAAGTTGGCAAGTGGAAAACAATAAATTCCATCTGCCTTATAAAATAATTCAGAACACTGAATTGCTGGTTTAACCAGCAGTTTCACCTCATGTTGTGGTTTCGTGATATCAGAACAAGTAACAGCTTCTCCAGAAGGAGAAATACGAGAAGAAAGCATAATAGACTGATGGGAAAAGTACACACATTCATGTTTGCCAGTAAATCCAAGCTGCAGGAAAGGGAGGCGATTATAAAAAGCTTTAATGGACAGGATGCCTCAGTAATACTTTGCCTGATCGCTCTGCATTTTCTAGTAGTCAAGGAAAAGTCAAACTAATAGGAAAATCCTAACCAACATATCAAGCTATTAATTATGTCCAGAAGTGAAGTCAAGAGGCAAGCTTTCCAAAACAAATTAATCTATTTTCAGCAGAGCTTATTCCCTTTATAGATGCCAGGAACAGGCTGTATGTGATTGAAAATTACACCAGTAGCAGTATAGTCAGTTATGGTCTAGAAAGGAAGCTTTAATTCAGTATTTTCTTGAAACTGATTCCACTTCAATTGTATTGACAGCAGAACAACATGGTCGTGATGCAAGTTACCTTTTAGACATAAGGCTGCTGGCTTACCCTTGTGGTAACGATAGAAAGAAAATTAATAATTTATTGGCAGTCCATCCAGCATTACATTTTCATGTTTTCTTATCAACTGATCCATTAGGATGACACTGTTCATAATAATAATAATAAAAAACCTCTTTCATATCTCTTTGCTAAATAAACTCTGCACTATCATTTCCTTTACCACAGCCATAATCTTTAGCAGTGCTATTACAGTATTCCAAGTAGTTATGTTAAATATACCTTTCTAAAGATTTAATTTTATCCCTATTAAGACTATGCCTTGTTAAACTTAACAGAAGTGGAGATAAACAGAGATGGTAGAATAAATCTTTCTCAAACACAAAGGCCTTTGCTGAAGGAGCCCATCCTGGGTACCAGAACCCTTCCTCACTGTGACTTTCCTTCTACGAGGAAGAAGGGATAGTTGATTCACCTGGGAGGAATCTTTTTTGAAGAAGCAAAAATTGTAAGCATCTTCATCAGATTTTACACTGTAAATGAGGCTTAAATTTCTATAATCAAAGACACTTGATTGCTTTAAAAGACTGTTACTGCTTCCATCCTGGCACAGACCTATGCATCTTCTTCTGCCAGGCTCTAAAGCTCCTTGACATCACTCTGCTTCTGTAAAGTGGATGTAAGTGGCACTGTAAGTGGCTGAAAGTGCAAGGCACATCAATTTTAAAACCTCCTTACACAGTCAGGGAAGTGCAATGCAGGCCGTATAAATGAAAATCCATTTTTGTGAGCTGAAGTCAAATCTGAAAAGCGTCTATTCATGAAATAATCCCGTGACATATGGGCATACAATCAATACAGTCAGCAACTATAGTGAAGGAATTCAGTGAAATGACATTGTAAGAAAAATAATCTCTTCTTTATATGTGTATACATATTTATTTATTTATTACATGTTTGTATTTCAGCAGCACTCAGGAGCTGAACAATCCATAGTTCTCCTGTGCTTTGGGATGGAGATGCTTCCAACAGAATGTACCTTGCTGAAAATAACTTACAGTCTCAAGAAGAATATTCTGCCTGCCATATGTCCAGCATGTGGCCGTTTATTCCTCAACAGCATTGCTGTTGAGTTTTTCTGGCTAAGGTTTGGTGCACCCTCCACTGGACCACACTGTGTTTCTACCTGTGGTTCTGGCCACTACTGGGTCCAGGACCTGCGGTTTACCCTTGTCTGCATCTGACCCTGCAGCTCAGCATTATAGAAATGCAAAGCTGTAGTTTGTGTAAAGAATGAGAGCATAATGTAAAACACAGGACTTTATTCCTTTTGAGCAATGCACATCTGAACTGCCATTAATGGATGAGAATCTTGGTCCATCCACAGTGGGACATCATGGCATATTTACAGTCCAGAATCCATTACAGCTAAAATTGCACTATTTACACTCATCTGCCATAAATCTAATATTGTTGTGATGGCTATTCCATTTAATGTACTCTAGGAATGCTTTGCAAGCCAGTATCAATTATGTTTGGAAATAAACTGATGCTTTGGGTTAAACAAAATGAAAACATCCTTCCTCTGAGAAATGCAGTACTTTGTATCTGCAGCTATTTCGAGTGAATCTTATGTTTTATTCAATTAAGTACCACTGAAGACGACAATGATTCAGAAAATATTAAATGAAAATATCGATTCTGCACTCATAAAGTTGAATGAGCAAGGGACTCCTACCAATAACATGATCACGACACATCAAACTCACCTACAGCTTCAAAATAGTTCCTTAATTTTGCAGTAATTATTTAAAGATATTTTCAACTCGGAGAAGAATTTTTTCCTTATATCCAACCTGAACCTCCCCTGGTGCAACTGAAGGCTGTTACTTCTAATCTTCTTCTAATCGTATCACTGTTACCTGGAAGCATAGGCTGACCCCCACCTCACTACAACCTCCTCTCAGGCAATTGTAGAGAGCACTGAGGTCTCCCCTGACCCTCCTCTTCTCTAGACTGAACAACCCCAGCTCCCTCAGCTGCTCCCCATCACACGTGTGCTCCATACTCCTCATAGCTCCGCTGCCCTTCTCTGGACAAATATTTTTCATTCGATCCAAAACACAGCTCTTAAAAATGTCAGTTTTCCCTTACAGATCTGGAATCTTTCCAGCAGCATTCTTTATAATTACATTGATTATTAGCATCAATTTCCATTTCACTCTTCACCTCAGAGGAATAACAAATGTCTGCCAGCATTTACAAGGTATTTCAACAATTACTTTACCCAATGTGGAAACATAGACAATGTTTGGCTGAGGCAGGGCAGCTCCTCCCAAACTACATCATCCCCTAATGACAAGTGAGCCATCAGCTATAGAACAGCACCAGCCAGCTTTTTCCAGGATTATCTTGAACTACTGAGCCTTCACTCAGGTTCAAAACACACCTGCAAACCTAAGAGTGAAGACATTCATAATAAAAAGGATAGCTCATATATTTGAAGAGGTTGTTAGAAGATCTAACTCCTCCAAATGGGAGAAGGGAGGGACGAACAGGTAGAACACAGCTATGGCTCCATCCTCAGACAGTAACAGCACAGCCAGTGTTCAGGGCAGCTAGATCCTAAAATTTTAAGAAAAACTCCAACAACATCCAAGGTAGCCCACAGGCAATGGAGCCTCCATACACCTGGGAGACCTTTTACTCCATACCAGAGACCCAGACAGACACCTTCCATACAGCCAGACAGCCCATCTTCCATTTGCCTCAGCAACAATCTTGAGGAAATAACGATGCATGAAGCCTTCCTAAACGTCCTCTCACAGCGAGCCATGTGAGAAACCTGAATTTCATTAAAAAGAATAAACCATCAGTTTCTGGCCTTCGTGAAGCAAGGCAAAAACCTGACTACATTAACCAAAACCTCAAAACCCAGAAAAGAAATAAAGAGACCAGAAAATATATTCCTTCTTTTTTTTTTTTTAAAAAAAAAAAGTCTATACTCTTTTTTTTGTATGGACTATAACTTATTGAACATTCAAGTCTGACAGCACAGCTACTCATCCACCCAGACATTTAGCCAACTTGGCAGTACTTAGCTCTAACGACTTCAAAGCCTGAGGAAGCACGGAAACATTTCATGCATCAGATCTATTTAAGAACATATACAAAGCACTGCTCACAAGCCGTAACAGAAACAATATTGTCCCAGCAATAAAACCATGGAATGGAAAAATTCACAGATATATTACCCATTTTCAAATTTCACATTTAAAATAAAACACAGTGAAAAGTGAACAAGATTTTCGTCATGCAGCTTTCAAACTGTAAAGAAAAAAAAATAAGATAGCAATTTAACAGAGGATAATGAAATTATTCATTTTCTCCCTCTGCTTGAAGAAGCCCCTGGCCAAAAATGAAATCGAGCTACTTTTCAACATGTAAAATTGTTGTGGGTTCTTTTTACCTCTGCTTACATCCTTATTTTTTTCTAATGTTAGCTATGATCCAGTAGCACTAACTGGTACAAGTGCATTCATTTGACAAATATGAAAATAAGATTGCCTAACAGGGATCCTGCAAGTGCAGCAACTTTACTGGTGAAGGCAGTTCTGAATGAAGGATGTCTGTACCAAAAGGCAGATAAAAATGCAGAAGACATTGCACTGCATCAGGATGAGTTGAGCACAGCTTACGGTTATTGACAGCCCGAATCAGCCACAGAATAAATGTTCACCAACCTGCTTCAAGGCACACACTTTCTAATGTTAAGAGACATTAATGTTTTTTGCAAAACCTTTTTTTTTTTTTTTAATGTACTTCTAAATGTTACCATGACGATCGTGAATGCTTTTTGTTCATGTAATCACAGCAGTATGGAGGATACCTGACCAGAAAGTACAAGAGGGTGAATTAACTGGGTAGGCAGCAGAATTAATTTTCAGGCAGTATAAGAAAACAGGAAGAATGCTTTGCTTTTGTCTTCATACTAATAGTTACAATTTGTCTTGTAGAGTTTGAGTATCCTTCCATAAATGTTTTACTGCTAATCAAAGCAATACCAATATGCTTAGTTTTGATACAAGTTTCCAGATTCTTCCCAAACTCAGACTTTTTCTTCTCTCAGCAGCTTCTCATGGCAATGAGCTTCATGCATGATAACGACATCATGGTGTTTGAATGGAACTCAAACACTGAAAATATGAGGAGGATGTAGTGAAGTGGGGGTTGGATTCTTGGCAGGACACTGGGCTCCATGAGCTAGATCTGACCCAGAGGCTGACACCTACTGAGTCCCATGTCTTGGTCTGATGTTCTCTCTGTGGGCTCCTTTACAAAAATAACACCAGCCATTATCGATTTCTCTGCGTTAGAATTGTTCAAGCCTCAGAATATACTCATCAAGCATCTGTGAGCACAGCCCTGAATGCAGCGTTCCCAATGAAACTGCAGAACTTACTTATATAATTATATTTATATAATTACATTATAATTACCCTCTGTATTATCCTCTATCCCATTTTTTATTCATTTTAACATCTTGTTTGCATTTTGTTAATTCCCTTTTCTCTGAATCCTGCTAAGCTCCTGGCCTCACTGCTGCATTGTGGTGATGTAGCTCCGGAGGTGCACTGTCATCCAAGCAATTACTGTTGTCCATTATCAACTAATTTCCATTGTCTATAAAAAAAAATCCAAGGTGACACTCTTCCTCTGCAGCTTTTGGCTGATCACCCCAAAGAGTATGCCATAATAATTACTAGTTAAATACTAAAACAGATGAATTGCAAACACATTAGCAGCACTTTGGCTGTGAAGATTACACTAGAGGAGGAGATTATCGCAATGGCAGATCCCTGAAGGCTGAGCACTTGCAATTCCTATTAGCATTCCTGGAGAGTGAATGCAAGAGGGTTGTTTTGACACAGTAGAGTAACAACACAAAGAATTGCAACGGAGGCATGCATGGAAAGCGGACTCCCTCTGCACTATAAAACAGATCCTACATTGTCATGGTCTTAGTTCCAAATGCTATGAATAAAAACCTCATCTTCAAGAAACATTACAGCTTTATCTTTCTTCAAAAGAAGAGAAAATGCAAGGGGAATAAAGGCACTTAGCCGAATAGCAGCAAAAAAAGAGGGCCATCCCTCTAGGGCACACCTGCAACACTGGGATGTGGCAGGGTTGATGCAACACCTCTATCAGTTAGAAAGAGGAGACAAGCAGAACATCACATCCAGGACAGGATGCTGCCCATTGCTGTTGTTTCATCTCCAAATAAGCATGGGAACCCTTCTTTGGGAAGCAGCTCAATACTGAGAAAAATTGGAACTACAACATCCTATTCTTCAACTTCTGTTAAATATTTGGCTACATCATCACATCCAGTACTGCTTGAAACAGTGCGGTTTGCCATCCTTACTGCTTACAACGCCAATCATCACCACAGACAGAGCTGAGCTCCTTGAATATGGAACTGTGTCTTAAGGGCAACTTCTGTCAATAGCAAACATAAGATTTTGCATGGATTAAAGCTTATCATATGTTGTGTTGAAAGGCTCTTCATAGCCCTATCCCTTATCGAACCTGACCTGTAACATGAAGCACATGAAGGACAAGATTTTTCTCCTGTGCCTCCACAATATTTTTAAGTCTAATACTCAAAACAAGGCATACATTGCATAAGGATTTGTAAGAGCCCACCAAATGCTGGTAGATTCTATTTAAAGTATGCTTACGCTCAGTTTTCTTTTATCTCCCAGCAATGTTACTGATACTATTTATTCTTCCTAGCTATTTTTTAATCATTTTCAGGTGATAATGTGTGTTTATTAAGAAGATCAATATTTTGCAAGCTATGCTTTCAGGAAAGCCAGATAAATTATAGGCTTTGCTTGACATTTGTCTCCCAGTGCAATAACACATCTCAGAAACTCAAGTAAATTTACAAGCTAAGAACTCCCTTTTCCTGAGTCCAAGCAAACAATCCTCTATCATTGCTGGCAGAAACAAAACGTATTTCTCCCTTACAGTTATATTGTTGTCAATGAACTGCATAAACACTGAATTCTTTTCTCACACACTGCTTGTACACAGAAACTGCATTAGCCCCTCTTTCTCTGGTCCTGTTGAGCCACTCCATCCTTGGAGATAGATCAGGAAGCCTCTGCCAAAGCTTTCACCTCCACTTGTTGCTTCTATCTGAGTGCTGACATGAAATTCGTTTGGACCCGGCACATTGTCAACTTCTAACAGCTCCTAATTGCTGACCTATCTACTCTGATGTAACGATAAAACCTTTTAGCATTCTGTGTTACCCCTGGGAAAACATATTTCTGGTCTCTGATGTGACCTTCAGCTTTTTCTCTTAATACCAATGGCAAAGACCTCATGCAGCTCTTTGTGATGACAGCCTCATCTATCATACCCTACTCGTGCCTCTTAACACCTATTTCACTCTGCATTGCTGTTTCTGTGATATTTAAGGACATTGCTTCTGTTTATCTCTGTTCCAGTTACTGGTTACCTGGCCCAGCTTAATTTTTGTACACCATTTTCTTATCTCAAAGATGTTTTTG